TAGGAGTAGGAGTATGAATTATACTCTCTTACTCCGCCCACCTGTAGTGGGTTCCGGGAACGGAAAACCCTGCCGATATCGCTTCAAGAGGATGCACTTCTTCCGTCTTATGCGATATGTCTTTGTGGTGGCATGGCCCACAGTGGTTAAAAGAGAAACAAACCAACTGGCCGAAACCAAAAAACAACAAAACAGAGAAAAGTGTCGAAGCAGAAGAGGAGGTCAAAATGGTTCATCTGAATTTAATCCAATCAAATGGTTCGCAACGGGGGGAGAATTTAAAAGCTTTGACAAGAGGCGAAACGCCACTATTGGAAACATATAGCTCATTGAAAAAACTAATCCATGTCATTGCTTATATAAAACGGGCAATTCACAATTTCAAATGCAAAACAAACAGAAATGATCGTATTACTGGCCCTCTCTCACCCGAAGAAAAAGACGATGCCGAACTTATCGCCATTCGCATCGATCAGGAATTAAATTTAACTAATGAGCTAAAAAGTTGTATTGCAACCACGAGCGATCCGTTACCTGCTTCTTTTTCACCTCCAAAGAAAAATAACGATCGCACCATTTGGTATGATCAGGGAAAAATGGTACTCCGTTTATTTGGTCGCATTGCGAGTGACAATTTATCATTCAATGAGAAATTTCCAATTTTAATTTCATCTAAGGGAATTCTTGCCAAGTTACTTTTGCGCCAAATTCACACACTGACTTTACACGGCGGCATTCAATTAATGCTGCAAATTTTGCGCCAAAAATTCTGGATTTTCAAGGCAAGGCAATTAGCCAGTTCAATAGTTCGCGCATGTCCAAAATGCTTTCGCTACCTTTTTAAAAATTCCCAACAGCTGATGGCAACATTGCCTATTTCACGTACAACTCCTGGTAGACCATTCAAAACATGCGGTATTGATTACATGGGCCCAATTGGAATTTTGTCGCGCAGTGGCCGAAATCCGCAAATTACTAAGGGTTATGTATGTTTGTTCATTTGCTTTGTAACTCGTGCAATACATTTGGAATTAGTAAGTAACGCAAGCACTGAACAATTTGTACAAGCGTTACGCCGATTCATTTCTCGCAGAGGATCGGTTACTGATATTTGGTCCGACAATGGTACCAATTTTGTAGGCGCAAACAATTTCTTAAAGACACTAGTTAATGCGCATAACGAATGGGCACCGAATGCGCTTGCCAACGAGTTATCCATAAAATGGCATTTTATCATTCCAAACGCTCCGTCTTGGGGCGGTCTTTGGGAAGCAGGCGTAAAGAGTGTAAAAAAGCATTTTGTTCGCGTCGTTGGTACGCAAAATTTAACCTTTGAAGAGTGTTCAACTTTGCTCACTCAAATAGAAGCGTGCGTAAATTCTCGCCCAATGTATCCAATTTCTGATGATCCAAATGATTTAAATGCACTTACGCCTAGTCATTTTCTCATAGGAGAAAGTTTATTAACACTAGGCGATTCTCAAGTCTTTGAATCCAATAAGCATTACTTAAAAAGATGGCAAATGATACAACAAATGTATCAAGACATTTGGCGACGATGGCACAACGAATACATTTCTTCACTGATTCAACGGCCTAAATGGACGAATCAGGAGAAAAACCTGCAGACCAACGATTTGGTTATAATTCGTGAGGACAATATGCCTCCGAGTCGGTGGAGATTGGGTAGAGTAGTTGAAATTTTTCCATCTAAAGATGGTTTGGTTCGCGCAGTTAAAATAAAAACGCAAACTGGAGAGTATTTGAGACCAATCACTAAGTTAGGGTTGCTCATAGATGAAGACCCATTTGGGTGGCAACAGTCGGACGGCAAAAATAATAACAATAACATTAGTAAACAATAAGCCAATGGTTGAAGTTAACCACTTTAGGTGCAGACCGCAATCTGCTGTAAGAAAAGAATAAAATGTAAAAAAAATGTAACAATGGCAATGACCAAAGGAAAACGTAAACGCTTATATGCTCTAAGAAACAACTCCATTTGGCATAACAATACGCGGACAATATTCTGATTTGTACATTTCGTCACGCGATTGTCTTCAAATATTCTTCTTTTCTTTTTCACTAAATAAGTAAAAATCCTTCTACTCTCTAACTCTGCGTACGGTCTCTCAACTATAAAAACGCGAACCGCAAACGGTTTGAGCTCAGTCTAATTTTTTTCACGATGATGGACGAATCGGAGTACGACGTACCAGAAGAGCACGAAATGCTTCCGATTAAAAGACGCTGGAAAAATTATAAGCCAGAAATGGATCTCAACCAGTACTATGTCGATATGAGTCGTCAGCGTAGAGCATTCAGATTTTGGTTCGATGGCGTGTCCCGTCACATGCTATCACATCGAAGAAAGCTCGCTGAATTTGAGAAGAATCGCGATATACTCGAAGCTGCCATTCACCACATCCAAACAACTTACGCCAACGTCTATTGGCATTACAAGAAAAGTGACGATCCTGAAGCAAGGGTGAAGCGTCGCAAAAACCGAGATAAAAAATATAAAAACGTAAGGTATATTACCGATCTGCTGGATCAAATATATCCGGAAATCGAACATTTAACGGCAAATCTACCAAATCGTTTGGTTCAAGTACCGAGAAAAGTGCCTCCACTCAATCCACCACGCGGACTAAAACCGGCCATACCATCGCAAATCCCAGCTCCATCAGTCAATCCGGTACAAATAGCTGCTCCATTGTCAACAGCACCAAATCAACCAGTGAAAATATCATCTTCACCAACTACTGAGGCCAATAGCCAAGTCCGGCGCAACAGCCTCATCCAACATCACACCCACCAACTCAACCTTTGGAATTGGGTCCAGTCCAAAAAATGGAAAGACTGGTAAAAAATTATGCTGAGCAAGTGGCCTCTCGATATCAGATGCAGCCTAATTTGTTTACTCGTCACTCACCGTATCCATTACGCTGCTTCTGGAGTCCACCACCAACCAGCTCAAACGCCCAACAATTATCGCTTCGTGCTGGTTTTCGATCACCACAACCAGTGCCATTGGCTACCAGTTCTCAACAAGCGTCAAATCTGATTCGAGCTTATCCGAAGGAAATGACTAACATTAGAGGCCCACCACCATCAGTAACTTTCTCATCGGCAAACCGCCCCAATGAGCCACTACCAATGGTCCAAATTCCATTGAATAAACCATCAATAATCCGGCCTACCGTCTTACGAACAATGACGTCGCCAATACCGTCAACGAGCCAGCCTACGGTATCATCAACAAATGACAATATGAATGCCGGCACTGACCCGCACAATTCATCACAAGAGCAAGAACGAGAACAAAGAAGAGTGAGAAACGGCATTCTTCTTTGCAACATGCGCGACCAGTTAGAAAACATTGGTTTTCAAACACAAACCTTAGCAAACAGCATCAACAATTTCGCTAAAAACTGGTCGGCTCTTTTTAATCTACCAGCGAAGAAAAAGGATTAGGAAACGAGGAAAAAATTTTATTACATTTGAAACTACATACAAACGGCTCAGTTGGTTAAATTTCTGTTACCATGTATCATTCGTTAAATTGTGCTCAGTGCCATCAGTCGCTTCTCTTTAGTGTGATAAAAGTGAAACTCAAAAAAGTGAAATGAATACTTCAAGCGACTTCGAAACTCAAAGAATGGAATTTTTCAAAAATCTGCGAGACTTAGAAGAATTTGCAAAAAGTCACCCGGCGTCTTCGGAAAAGGCGCGCGACCTTGCTGCCCAGCAGTGGTTACTATTAAAAAGCGACTTTGAACAAAAATACCACGAAATAAACAGGAATGACCGCCTGAAATTTCTCTCAAAGCACAATTTCTGGCGCGGGTATTACGCTAAAACCCGCGAAAATTTTCGGGAGCTCATTGCTCAGTTTACCTTGGCGACAAGGCCAGTACTACCACCAATCATCGAATTACCCGCCTCATCACCGGAAGAACAAGCACAACCAACTCCGGAATCACCAGCGAAGCAAGAGCGGGAAATAAATCAACCGGGGCCTAGTTTACAGCAACTGGAGGAAATATATATCTCCAGCGATGACGAGGACCTACCGCACATCGATCTAACAGAACCAATGGAAACAAACATCCCGGCCGAACCAATGGAAACAAACGCCTCATACCGAACACGCATACACCTAAAAAAAGCCAAGCTGATGCTAAAACTTGCGGAGATTTATACTGAGTTGGCCGAATTAGAATCAGGGTTATGAGTTTCGATGTAATAATTTAAGTTCCTCAAAAATCAAAGTTTACTCAATTATTATAGTGTTTTTAAACAAAAAGAAAAAAAAACCAAAACAACAAAAAAAAAAATGGGTTGAAAAAATAAAACAAAAAAAAAATACTTGGTGATGGAATCAATTTTACATATCGGTCACGATATTACTTTATTTAGCCTTTTGTTTACATGTGAATGCAAATTAGTTATAAGGTGTTGAGTGTGGTGACCCGATGTGAATCAATTATTTCTCTCGAAAAGCTCCCTCATCGCCGCCGTAGAGCCAACACGAAGACAATTCGCGTTCAAAATGACTCGTCCGGCTTCAATGGGAAAACGTCTATTTCGAATGACGTCCGGCACCGTTTGCTCATCAAAGCTCAGCAACAATAAACATTTGAAGCAGAAGACTCTCCTCTGCCAAACGAACTCAACGGCTCGATCCGAATCAGCTGCGAAATCCTCCGTCAATGGGCCACCTTGGAAAATAAAATATCCAAGCCGGGTATTTCCGTCCGGAACGGGAAATACGTTGTTTAACCGCACTACCGGATAATAACACGACGAGCAGCAAAAAACGAATGTATGAAAATTACTTTCCAACGGCCAGGGAATTGGTGGCTCGCCGATCCGGCCGTCATCGTTCACATTTTCATCTTCATTGCGGCCACACAATTCACGGTTACCATGACACATTTTTTCTGCTATTTTGATTTACCGAACTCGACGACAGCAAAAATCAAACTAAACGAGCGTACAAATTTCTTAACAAATTAAGTAATAAGGGACCGCTTCGAGACATCATAAATCAATTAGTTTATTGAGATCGCAGCATCACTTTTTATTGCATTCGCATGTTAAACTCAATATATATGCAAATAACCAATACTCCTAAGACGAATATTAACCAAAAGGAATGTTCAATGATTTCTCGTTTTTTCTCCTAATAAAAAGAACCTAAACAAAAAAACACCGAAAAGGTTTGAAATCATAATGAGCAGATAACAGGTTTTAACTTTTTAACTGCTCTCCGATTCTTTCTAGGCAAAATTTTTAGGAACATAACCGCTGTGGTTCAGACTTGCGCTGAACCGGGGGGAGGATGTTCAAAATCAAAACAAATGTACGGAGTTGGGCCAAAGCTTTATTT